CAAGCTTTCATTTTGAAGTGGATATTTAATATCCAAATTAAATGTGAAAATAATAGCTGAGATACAAATATAATGAGTGAAACAGATGATCTGAAGCAAACATGAGATATTTCTTTTCAAATTATAAACGATCAAAATCACACCTATAGTTATTATTTTCCCAGTCTCCACATAAGGTCAAAAGTGCCTTCAGCTACAGTGATGCAAATCTGGAATACTTTCAGCAGAGTTACTGAAACAGCAGACTGGGTTTGTTGATGAAGGAAAAGGAATGAGGAATATACGGCCTTTTAAACACCTTCTTTCCATACTGTGAATTATTTTAAGGTTTATTTAAGCCTTACTATATTTCATATCAGCTGCAGAGAGTTTTTGAAAAAAAATAAATCTCTTTTAAACCTGTTGCTAGAGTATGTGATCAAATATTTTAAAGGCCAGGGCCAGGGCTTGCCAGTTGCAAAAAGCACCTCTCTTAATTGCCCAAGTATGAAAGTCAGATGTCCTCAAATACCATCTGAAAAGATAACCATATTTTTTTCAGCTGTGCTGTAGCCTCCATATCTTACTGTCAAGAAGCTTCTTTTGGGACTGAGACAGGTCACGTTGGAAGTCAGTGGCTAATCAGCTCCCACTGCACATTGTCTGCTTTCAGCTTGAATTATCTTAGGCAGACATCCTGGCTAGCTGCAACACAAACCTCTGATGGCTTAAGCCTGAGAAGACCCGAGTTTGGCAGCCACTAAGATAGAGATGAGGAGAGGAAAAGAAATCCTATCTCTTCCAGTGCTTTTCCCGTCTTGGTTTCCCTACTAGAAATCAATAGGGTGGTCGATAGTTGGTTTTGAGTTGTTCGCTACATGCTGGAGTTTTCTGATGTAAACCTTGGGTGTCTGGGTTTCAGACGCTCTAATGTGTCAGAGGAGGTTTGATAGCTGCCACAGTCATCCCAAGTTACACTTTATGTCCAGTGACAGCCCTTGTAACATGAGAAGGGAATGAATTCAACAGTTAGAAGCACAGATCATTCTCATACATTTACTGCTTTGGGAAGGGGACAGGTTAAAATTCTTACGGAAATCGGTTATGGTCTTTTCTGAACCAATGCTGAAAAAATGCTTTGTGAGATGGGGCTGCATTTCAGTCAGTTTTTTTTTCTGCGCCGGTATTTCTGGATTCATTCATAACTGTATGAGTATTGGGTTTTTTGCTCACCTCTATGTAGAAATTATTCAGCATGAAGGTATCATGGACTGCCTGAAAAAAATTCTCATTGATTAAAAATCACCTATTCGTGATTCTTTTGTTACCACTTTCAAAACTGGAAGAGCTAAAATAGTAATAATATTAGATACATAGTAATTTACAACATACTGTTTTCTCTGTTCACATGAAGAACCTGCAACATGAGGGAAGTTAGAGTTGTGAGAAATGTGTAGGGCTTTTTTGCATTTAATGAGACTGACTTACCAGCATTAATACAAGAGTCTTCTCCTGTGCATCCGTGTAATACAGATTCCTCTTCTGTGACAGTGGTTTTATGTCTCTCTGACTTACCTCCTTCCACCTTTGTTCACATCTCCTCTGCAAGAACACATTTCCTCTCTTGCTTCTTGAGCTAACTTGGTTATTTATTCCTAAAGCATTAGGGCTAGGGTGCTTTTTCTTCAGTGGCATACTTTTAAAAGTTTTTAAAAAGGATTACTGTTTGTATGGATGGCATGACTACCCAGAATTATAGTAAGTTGTGCTAAAAGATTACTGGAAGAGAGACCAAAGACAGGGGAGTCATACAGATGCCTCCACGTCTTGTTGGTGAGGAATCCATGCGGGTTACTGCTGTCTTTCTTCTACTGCTGGCAGATTTGGAGACAGGATATATGGCTGTGCACTGTGTAGCAGTTCCTCTGCAGCAATAAGGCATTATTATAACTCATCTTTGCTTACTTTACTTTCTACTTACTCTTATTCATAGAATTGTAGAATGGTTTGGGTTGAAAGGGACCTTAATGATCATGTAATTCTAACCCCCCTGCCATGGGCAGGGACACCTTCCATTAGACCAGCTTGCTTAAAGCCCCATCCAGACTGGTCTTAAACAATTCCAGGGACAGGTCATCCACAATTTCTCTGGGCATTCATTCCTGTGGTCTTAAAAATAGCCATTTGCAGGGCTGGACACAAATCATTCTTTGGGCTGTCCTTAGTCTCCACATGGAGCTCATCAGTTGGCTTCAATGGGAGTTGACTTCAACAGAGAGCAGCTGAAAACTGAACCTGGACCATATATATTTGAAAAGCATAATTCAGGCATCCCAGTCTTTCTCCCAACATAACTGTTGGTAGTTTTGGCAGGGACTTCAGTGAGGGTGCTGATCCCTTAAAGCATTATTTAAGTGAGTTCCATGGATTTCAGGAGGAATGTTAAAGTTGTCCTGGCTTAAATGAATATTAACTGCAAATGTGATTTTTAGATCTAAGAAAATCAAAACACTTAAAACAGGCCCAGAAAAGTCTTTGAAAATTGTGACGATACATCTTTCATATTACCAAAATGACACTGTTATTTAAAGCACTGAATCTGCTCTTTGAATCCTATTTCAATATTTAACCAATAATGTTTAAAGATGTGCACATGAAGCAAGTATCTTACCCCACTACACTTTTAGATATCAATCATGCTGTATTAATTGAAAGGATTTGGTCTAATCTCATAAAGAAACAGGCAAACTCTTGGCTTTTCTCTAAAGTAAAAATATATCACTCATGTCATCCATTACTGTGCTATAATTATGGTAAGTGAAGCAGAACAGAATCGATGGAGCAATTTATCAATGCATTCCCAACTATTCTAGCATGGCTGACGTCATGCGGCTGCAGATACTGTCCTTCAATATAAAAGATATCCAGCAGTGTCAAGACTTTATTCTGATCTACTCCAGCATAATATTTTCATATTTAATATTGTCATTTCAATTATGGTTTAATTAATTTATTTCATTCACTATGAAATTACACTTAATTAGTTGGCTTTTAAATTTTTTTCCCCAAATTAAAATTTCAAAAGGGCAAAAAAAGAGGGAGAATAAAAATCCCAGACATTATTTAATTCAGACTTCAAGGTCAAAAAACCCTTATAGTTTAAACTTTATGCTAATAGAGCATAAACTTGATCTTTTCTGTTCCACTGTAAATTATTTCAAGATAAGAAGCAGAATATAATGTGTGTAGTAAGCATTTCCAATAGACATTTGTCTTCAGATATTAAATACTTCCCCAAAATGTCATTTTAATACTTGGATACTGTTTAGTACCTTCAAATATTTGCCTTTTTACACACTTGCTTTTGCAAGTGTTGAATTTTACCCCTATATTATCTTTTAAGTTTTATTCAAATAGGTCTGACAGAGTTAGAGCCCGTGTAGACTAAACTTCAGTAAAGCAGTCCTGGAGATAGCACTGTTTGTTCTGTAAAACACTCACCCCGCATTCCTCCTGAAGTTATTAAATGTGTTTACACTACATTAAATATGAAAAATGAACTTCTTCAGTGCAGGGATTGTTTAAAACACTGGGAGAAATACCGCCGGAGCACCTTGCCGTACCCCTCGCCGTGGCACAGGACGAGGCGCTTCCCCCGCGTGCCTGTCCTGCCCGCGCTCCCGGCCTCCGCCTGTGAAATGGTTTTGCTACTTCGGGGCCAACGTGGTTTCTAACAACCGTGCCTTTCTTCAACTGGCACAAAGTCGTCCTTGGGATTTTGGCACCGCCGAAGTGAAAAGCGCTTGGTCCAAAAACACACTGATCTTGTGGGGTGGGGAGGAGAAGGGAAGTGTTTGTTTACAACTTGCACCAGCGTTGGGCTCTCTTAATAAACCAGGCTTCGTTAAGATGTCTGGCTGCTGGAAGGGATTTTTCTCATCAAACTTTTTTTTTTTTTTTTTTCTGGGAGAGGAGCACATGGAAAAGTTCATCAGGAAATTAAAGCTGTGAAAGTAGTTTTTCTCACACAACAGCTGCTGGTTTACGTGGTGTTGTGTGTAGTCTCCCTGAAAATCCCTGTCATCCCCCGGCGCGGTGTTTCCTTTGCTCCCCGGTGGGGTTTCCAGGGCTCTGTTAAACGGCGGTTAACAGGGAACACGTCCTCCATGTCATACCATCCATGGTCTCCCCATGTCACTGCTGGGGGCTCCCAAAAGGCCTCATGGAGACCTTGGTTTTTGGGGGTCTCTGCTGGGCTTCACGAGCCCCGTGCCCGGAAAGGGTTAAGGCACGCGGCGACCGCGCGGCCTCGATGAAAAGCACAATGTCCCCTGCTCTTTAAAGATGTACTTGTAAACCGTCGTGCTGAGTGGATTTATGAAGGGTGAGTTTACCTGATATTACACGGTATTGTTTAATTTGGACTATATTTAACCAGCGCTGTGTTGAAACAGTGTCGGCGAGCTCTGAGAGCTTGCCAGGCACATTCTCAAAATGGTTGCCAAGCTGTAAGATGGCTGCCAAGGTCTGACTGCACTGAACAGGTCCAAAATGGTGACCAACTTCTCAGAATTTTCCTGCCGATTTTTTTTTTCCCCCCCAAAATAAGGAAGATGCTGGACTTGGCACCAGCCTCTTGGCACTACGATTTATAGTGTCATCCAGAGATTCAAGTAGTTACTGTGTTCTTGTTTCACAGCACTTGGCAGAAAGCTGCGTAGGGGAGGACGTGAGGTGAAATAGCCGGTGTAAAATAACATTAGCATTTTCCTTCCTTGGCTAAAAAGTACCAAACACGTTGGGGGGATAAAAAAAAAAAATAAAAGAAAGAAAAAGAAAAAAAAAAAAGAAATGGAAGGTAGGATATTTGAAAAGAAATCGGCAGAGAGCAGCTTCGACCAAAGCTTCAGACTTTCCTTTCGGGCTGTGTGTCTAAAGTGGTGCAAACTTTATCTCCAACAGGTTTAAGATTTTTTTTTTGATTTTTTTTTTTTTTTTTGCATTTGTTTACTGGAGTTTATAGCAGTTTCTTTCTGGCAGTTGTGCTACTTAGCAGATTGAAATAAAATCATAAGGGTGAATTAAAACACACTGCTGTTAGTGCTGATTAGAATTTTAGCTTAGTGTAAATACCGGATGCAGTGTCCAACTTTTCAGGGACTTGGCATAGACTCAACAGGGATCTCCGGGCTGCACAGGAGACAGTGTGTGCTTGCAAGCTTTTTAAATACTTGGATAGGTGAAGCTCACTGCTTCTGCTGGCATGCTAGCTAATTTGGGGTCTGTATAATGCATTACGTAGTCCAAAGTGTCTGGAAAAAAAAAAAAGAAAATAAAAGGAAAAAGGGAAAGGATAAGAATAAAAGGCAAATATTTTGATCTAAAAACTTTAAATGTATGGATTTTATTTGTGTTCTTAGCATCATGTGCTAAATGCTTGCTCGTGCATACAAGATGTAAATATATTCCTAGCTAATTTTTGGATTGTACTTGTAAATAAACAAATCGCCTGAGGACATGTTACTCTGAAAATATTAAACGGTTCCTTATGCAGCTGGAAAATATTTGTTGTTAAAATAACAGAACAGTGGAGTCTTTCTATGCAAATACTTGCATTCAGGTGGATTGCATTAGTAGATACTGCATTCTCATAGTCTCACTCTCAGCCCACAACTTGTCAATTTTCATCTGTTAGCAGTTTTCGGTGTCTCAAGTTACCTCTACGTATTTTCACCCTGTAAAGAAACAACGGAAAAGCAAGCATTATCATCTGGGGGTGATGCAGCAGCTTCCCTCAGTCATTTTGAAGTTATTAAACCAGCCAAATGATCAACACCTAACTCCAAATGCTTCATCTCCACTACTGAATATCCTCTACTATTGCTGGGTCAATAGGTCACATCATTTCTTCTGCAGGAGTAGCAAGAAATCTCAACTGTACTTTTTGCCCTTATCCATTTGCTTGAGGGAATTCACAGGGATGCAGATGTTTTTCTCAACCATATCTGCTGTTTATACCCACATTTCTCCCATAACCTATGCCTTTATGTCTTTGTAGAGTTTATAAACATCCTGCTAGTACAGATTCACCCTCTTTCACTGGCAACCTATACATCCATAGTACTTTCATGGAGCAGGGTATAATATTAATGATGAAATTTGAACTCTCGGTTCTTTGGTGAAAAGATGAGATCAGAAACTATTGGATACTGGTCAGGGCACATGGAGTTTAATTGAGCCCCTTGCATATACTGAGTTACATAGCAGATTCTCTGAAATATTTTTTCAGGATATTTCAGTGTTATGCGTTAACAAAATTTAAAGCAGTTCAAATTCAAGAAAAATGTAAAATAAAAAAATATCTATTAAAGTCTTGCTTATCAATGTGATTAAAAAAATAATTGTGGAAACTATAAATGGACACTGATGTCCTTACTGAGTAAAGATTAGAGCAGGATACTGGTGTCATGTTCTCAGTTTCATCTCTCTTCTGCCACTTTAATAAAAAATCTAAAGGACTCTTTCATCTGCTTTAAATTAAAAAAAAAAAAAAGTTTTAGGAAATTCTAAACCTAACTACACTCTGCATACCAGCATAAAATCGTGTAGTACCACTTTTTTGACTGAATTTAGGTGTTTATTTTGCTGTATGATTCCGGCCTGTGTGTTAGAGCTCTAGGTAGACAAACCCTCATCATCTACTGCAAATAGAATTTTAAATTACTAAAGTTGAATTTGTTTTAGTCATATAAATATTCAAACATGCCTAGTTTATGAAAACTGAACATAACTTCTGAACGTGAAAAATTTGGGAACCATTAGGACTCTTCTGTGTTATAGTTTGCATTAAATGATCGCTGGGCCATTTTATCCCCTCATATTAGCGTGATTCCTTGATGTAAAAATTTTCTTTTGATTTATGCACCAGTAAGAAGGAGGAGAATTAGGCCTGTAGTACTTTGATTTAAGTAGCCATTATTAGTTCTGGATTCTCATGTCATTATACACTTGTATAACGGAAATAACTCTGTTGAAACTAATGAAAATGTACAGTGAATATTGTGAAACAGGTAGGAGTGAGAAGAGGATCAGGTCTGTAGTTTACAACTTCTGAGACCTGAGAGTTTTTTCTCCATGAACAGAAATGAAATCTTTCAGAAGCTTTTGGCACTTTTGCTTGTTTGTATATTCTTCATGTACACATCATGTGCATCTGTGTGTGTGTGTACATATATATGATATGTGTAAAAGTACTTTTTATATAGTAACTTTCTGCATAGGGCAACCCAAACAGCTGTTATTCCTTTTTATAGCTTCTTTAATCTATGTGCCAACAAGTCAGTTTACAAAATCTGTTTTGTTGATGACTGCTGCGATAATAATTGTGGTGTTTTGTGGCTTGGCAAAAGCCTGGGGTCTCCTCCGAGGACTCTTGCCAAAGCCTTTGAAGGGGTTGAGGTGGATTCACTGCCAAAATGAGTCACCACTCTCTATTTTATTTAGTGTCCTTCTGCCAAGGCCTTAGACACTTTCTGTTTTCATTCTTTTGTAGGCTTTCCTTCCCACATTGTGGTTTCCTTCACAGCCAGAGTAATGTGTTTGCCAGCATAGGTGAGAGAGTGTGGCTGACTCTCCAAATGCCACTGCTAGACTATGCTTAAGGGTTAGTGGTTTAGCTATTGTGCTTTCTCAAAATGAATGTGCAAGATTTAATTATACGTCTATGAATTATAAATAATAAAGACTGCTGCATCTGATACAGCACAGTGCAATAACCTAGATTAAGGTCAAGGGATTTCAGAGGTCTGTCAGTGTTTACTTCTCCAAGGCTCCGTATTACCGCATCCTTTGAATTATTTCACTTGTGATTGGGTTGGTCAAATCAGAGATGAGTTGCTCTTTAGAGTAAATCATATTTTTTTTTTGGTCTGAGGCTGGCCTTTCTATTAACTTTCTTCTCCATCCAGAAGCACATAATCATTCTGTTCACAGCCGAATAACAGATGCATGGTAGTTATCATAACACTTTGCATGTCCCACCCAGATGTCTCAAAAAATTTGAGAAACCAAGATGAATGGATGTGACATTCTGACATCCTTCATACAGATGTGAAAACTGAGGCACAGAGAAGTGAAGTGATTCAGTCAAAGTTGCATAGGAAGTCTGCGTGAGGCCTGGAAACAGAACCCACATCATCTGACTCATTGGCCTTTGCTTTAACCACAAAAACTTCCTTTTTCCCGCTGTACTTAAAGTGATATGTTTTGGCCTTATTCTAGATAAAATGTTAGATGTAGAGATGGCCTAGATATCCTTACAGTAAAATGTGTAATTCCTACTCGGGTGAAGTTGGATGATATGAGTCATGACTTATTACAGTATCTGTGGCTTTCTTAATGCTGTGAGGTTTTGGTATGAATGAGGAAAGCAATATGGGGATTTCAGTTAACTGTTAAATAAAATTAGAATGGAAAAAAACACGTGGTGCTCTGAAGAGTAACGGCAGTATTAGCTTTTCAAACAGATTTTCTTCTCCTCATCAATAAAATGCTATGCAGTGAGGTAGGCAGATGGATAGTTCAGTACTGACGTCTGAACCTTGGTTTTAAAGGGCCTAAAGGAATTAGTCATCGTGTTCCCAAAAATCATGCCCTTAAGTGACTCTATATGCACAGAGTGGCTTATATAGGTGATCCTGCAGGATTTTGAGTGGCACACCTGTTTCTCCAGTAAGGATCTCCGTGAGAGCTTGCTGTTGCTCCTCAGTGTTTGCTATCAAGCAAAAATTTTCTAAGTACCTATTTTTGAACATAAAAAAAATACAAATGTTATCAAACAGCGTCGTCCTTTGTGTAGTTATGGCTCAGAGCCAAATCAGGAGAAGTGCTTTCATCTGTCCTTTCCCGTGTCTTTTTGCTGTGTTTCACTCTTTCTTGATCGCCTTCTCCCCTTCTTGGGAGATCAGCACAAATGCCGTGGAGCCCTCCATCCTCTTCAAGTCTGTAGATGTCTCAGCCTGGCAGTCTGGTTTGGTCTGAACTTTACCCAGAAAACAATGTAGTCCCAGAGATTTTCTGTGTCTTTATCAATGCATACATCTTATATCCCCTCCATGCAGGGAAATATTTTCTTCTTCTTTCTTATGCCTCTCCAGCTTCATTGTTTGTTTGTTTGCTTTTTCATTTCATACTGTTTCCCCCCGCTCCCTTTGTCTCCTTGTACATCCCTCCTTTATTTGCTTCATATATCCATTTGCCAGCTGCCTGTTTTTACTTTGTTTTGACTACCCATATTTGTGCTCTACATTTCAAACCCTTCTTTCTTCCCTCATTTTTGATGTTTTGTTTTCCAGGCACAAGAAAGCGAGTCATTGTGTCTTGCTCTACCTAAACTGTCTTCAAAGAGAGAAAGTGGCAAAAATGATGAGTCCTAGCAAAGTTCACTTAGCAGGAGTCCACACAGAGAAAATTCTTCTGCCTGGAAGCACATTATTCACCAAGCCATTTGTCATTGCCAATTAGTAGTGAATGTTAGGTTGGGTCATTCGCTATCTGCAGTTAGGGAACGAAGGATAAGGCTGTACATCCTTTGGAGACAGAGCCCAGGTCCCACCTAGGGAAAACTGATACACCTGTCCAAAGTTTACTTAGGAATGGTTTTCAGTTTTTAGATTTCAAACACAGATTTTAATTGGAAAGGGAGACTGGTCTCTGTTCTACAGTACAAATTAAACTAGTAGTAAACCAATTAGGCCATTCTCTTTTTTATGTTACATGACATCAGAAGATAGCTACAGGTCTTTAAATAGTTACCTATTACTAAGATATGGTGCAAATAATGATGCAGCTATCACAAAACTAAATGAATAAAGGAAGGGAAAAAAGAGAGAGTATCTGTGACTTAGGGAGATTTCCAGCGGCAGATTTTATCCCTCTCCTTGGGACAGTATCAAGAACAAATTTGCTGCCATTCCCTGTATCAGACATCTTCTTACTTTTAATGAAGCTTTCTAGTAATTTTAATTTTCTTTTAAGAGCTGTGTCCTTTCTGCTCTAGAAAATATGTGACATTCTTTACTCAGGTAAAGATTCAACTTTATGTGCTGTCTGGCTGATTGCGACTGAAACCAATTCTGAGTAAAAGTTAGAGATGATTTGTAAAATTCATCAGCTTGCACGGGTAGTCTGTGTGCTGTAGGTTATAGAATTTGCTTCACCAGTGACAGCATTAACAATGCAGGCTTTATTTACAAGAGGTTTATAGTGTTACCACAACTGATAGAAATCTCTGTAGTTCCACTGCTTTTAATGGAATTATTCCAGATCTAGCTGAGGATCTGATCTGTAACACAAAACTCTACATTTTAAATTACCACTGCAGTTTAGAAGAGTTTAAGTAAATTCTGGGATGGAGCACATAGCTATAACTGGGAGAACTTATTATAAGTAAAAGGCAAAGCCACTTTGCTGTAGGGGTAAATTAGGATTTTTCACTCACTGATCTGTTAGAAGCAGCTAGACTGAATTAGCCTGACCAGGAAAGACTTAGAGATATATAAATTTAGTCCCTTCTCTCTTCCCCACTATTGTTTTTATAGCATTTGCAGGGGACTGTAGCTCTAATCCAAAAGGAGAGAAGTTAGGAGACAGGAAAAATTTAAGAGCATGCGGTATATTCTCCATTCTGTAAATACACTAGCTAAAGAAATTATTTCTTTACCTACAGATAAGTAGCAATATGAGTAGAACAGGAAGAAGACTTCAGTTCAGTAAAAACTTATAAAGCACTGTAACAGAGCCTGCACTATATCATATTAGAGAATATATTGCTTACCTCACGGAAGTAGATTGAGGGTATTCATGACCACTGGTGAATTCCCTCATGTGTAGTAATCTCTGATTATTTGCACCTGAAATTCTTCACCAGCATAATGCTCTGTAGCCGAGGCTTATATAAAGTTCAGTTTTTATTAATTCAACCTTACAAGCACAGTACTCGGTTCACGTTCATGACTGCAATTATTTATTTAAGTAGAAAGAGATATCTAAAAAACATTTTGTGGATTATTCAGAATCTCAGAGGGCTCTTTTATATACAATATTTAATGAGCAATCTACTTTGGAAAATAACTGGATTTATTGTGGGTAGCTATCCTTTACCCAAGTGATGTGGTATAAATAAAGTGGAAGCCACTTTTGAAACTATTACAATAATTGGAGCACTGAAAGAAATAAAAAAGAAAAGAATTTTTTTTTCTTTGGTATGGCAAGCCATAAAATGTACAATGGTGTAGCAGAATGAATGAGTGGCTGTTCAGAAAGGAAACTTTCTGTGCAGCAGAAGGCTAACTGCTGAAATAATGGAGCCATTCACAAACATATTTTTCTATGTAACAAATAATAAGATAGTTGGACAATGAAGTCTCCTCAAGTACATAATAGATTTTAAAAAAAATTAACTGAAAAAAAAATAAAATTCCATCTTCAAGACCACATTTGGATCAATTAGAAAATATTTGTAAAAGCCAATCTGGAAGTCAGCATGGGCGCTAAAGCCTGCTGATGCTCACAGGATATGTTGCTTTCTGCACTCTTGCAAGAGGCTGATCCCCAAAGACACCTCCGGCCTGTGTGGCACATCTCAGCTCCAGGTCTGTCCCTTCCCTTCATGCCCGGAGCTCTCAGACACGGCTAAGGTACCTGCATGTGGCCAGAGGAGATGGCCACCTGCCCTGGGGAGGCTGGAGCATCCAAACGAGGGGCCTGGAGATTGCCAGAGGTACCTGCCTAACCCAACAGGCCTTAGCTTCACTTAGGGGCAGTCTGTGAGAAAGGCTGCGAGGTTTGACCCCGTCAGTCCCTAGCACATAAATATTCAGCCCCCAATGACTTGTTCTGCTGTTCTTTAACCTCAGCATTACTTCAGATGTACTCCATAATCTGTCTAAAGCAGGGGACCAGTAATCTACATTCCTTATCATGTTACATTATTGATATTTTTGTTAGAGCTGAGGTAGTATTTTAAGTCTAAATCATATTTTTCTGTGGTATATATAAATATATATATTTATTAAAGTTACATTTGGGACGTAGATGCATATGATATACTCTTTCCTCCAAGGGTTTGAAATAAACAAAGCGAATAACAGAATTACTTCAAACCTGTTCACTATTTATGACTGGTTGAGGCCAGAGCTGTGAAGATTTACACTTGGTGGTAGAGTAAGATGCTGTGCTTGTCCTGCTCTCCTGGTAGGCCTAGTAAATCCTGGGCTCTTTGAGGCGAGGGCTCTCTTTGTTCCGTGCTCATACAGAGCTTAGCAAAGTGGGGATCTCAGGGTGGCAGTCCTAATTATCTGCAGGACTGATAATTAGCGATACTTGCACCTGGCAGCAAGGTCCCAGTACAAGGGTAAAGGATAAGAGCCCTCTCCCAGATTATGTGAAGCAGGGGCAGTCTGTAGATACGGGAGGAGTTTCTGCTCAGGTTCTTGTACCTCTGCAAGGCTGATAAACCTGCAAAGTCAGATACTTGGTGCAGTTCACCGCTCCAGTGTCCTTGTGTCTTCAGTAGCACATGGCAAATTGTACTGGAATAAATGCTGGTTATTGCTGTTGAATAAGGAGTGCAGAAAAATCAGACAAGGCTTTTGCCTAGTGGTGGAGATTAAGACAGCCATAATTTATTGCAAGCTTGCCTGTCATGACTAATGGATTCAGCCCCTATTAACTGCGCTGTGACACTTAAACTGACTATTTTTCTTCAGCTTCTTCCCTCAATTTTGACCAAAATGCATACCTACGAAGAAAAGACATTCATTCTTCTTTTCTCTAAGGCAGATTTTTGGTGTGTGAAATTAAGGAGAACTTCAGTGGCAAAGCCCACCACAGCACACGTACCTGTCCCAGCCTTTGTCACACAAATGTTGTCTTTTCAGGTGCTCTGCACAGGGCCGAGGGATCATAGTGGAACCAGCTATCACCAAAGACTCTGCTCTCACAAAGTACATGGCCCCGTTTGACATTTTGAATCTCACCTTCAAAATAGGGGATGCAGAATTACTGGATGCAGTAACCAGGGTGCCATCGCACCATTGTGCCTGCCCAGAAGTTTGCATTTCAAGGCAAATATATCAAAATATATATGTCTGTGTAAATTTCTGTAATTTCTCTGGCTCTCTTCCCTCTGTCACCTCTCCCCCTCTCCTGCTATTCCTGTTTTATTTATCCTGCTGTAATAAAATCAGTCTCGCAGAGAATAGGCAAACAAGAGGACGTGCAGTAGTATGCTGACTTGGGACTGAAGATGCCGTGGTTAGGCAACAGGATGAGCACTCCCTCCTTCGTCATCAGGGTGAGCGTGGTGCATCCACAACCCCACTAGTGATACCAGCATGAAGCAACACAGAGAAAAGTCCAGCTGCTTCCAGCTGATGCCCTGTGCAGAGCCAGGCAGAGAAATGAGCTCGCGTCTAGCAAGCCTGTAGCGCCAGGTGGTGGAGAGGTGGTTGCTTTTGGAGCTACCAGCTCTTTGGAGGAAGGATCTGTATTTTTACGGAGAATTGATGGATTGATTTTATCGCAGTGATTATTTTCTAGACTTCTTCGGGGGGGAGAAAACTGTTTTGGGAAGATGGGCCAAATTCTTAAAAGCCATGGAGTGTTTTTGGGCACTGCTGAGCAATGAGGCGTTGGGTTTTATCACTGACTTTAGACACTTATTTTTAGACTTAAATTTTCTAAATGGAGAGATTCTTTTCTTGGCATAACCATGAAATAACTGATTTCTTAACACGTTAAAAAAATGATTTACTTTCGATAGGAAGTTGAAGGGGATGGAAGAGCAAACTATTTTAAAGTCTTGCATGTACTTTTCTAACCAGATCATGGCTCCATAGTAATTTGAGAAGGCGAACACAGTTCACAATTGAGGAGTAAGTTAAAAAAACCTGAGTTTGAAATTCATAGGAGGAGAGAGACTTCCTGCTTTGTTCTTATGGTTTGGCATCAAACCAGTCATATGCAAATTTTAAATTGTGCTGCTAAATAGTTAAATAAGCAGATCTAAAGGGTGTAAGGTTCCCAGATCCTTTGTAATATCCACACACAGCTCATTTTATATCTTCTACCAGTACATTCCGAATCACTTTTCTGATTTTATTGAAGAAAATGTCTGGAATTTTGATAGGAAGGACTTGAAAAAGATAGTCGAATCTGGATAAAATATTCATAGATATAAGAAGTTCTAGTACCGGGAAAAGGCTGCTGCGTGCCTTCAAGACTGTTCTTCTAATTTCCTAATTTCTGTTTTCCCTGTTTTCTGTGCTGTTTGTTTAAATAAACTCTACTGGTTCTGTCTTTCACACATCATTGCTTTTTGCTTCAAAGGCTCCTTTTAATAACTCATTCTTTGGTTTAATTTTCTTTTGAACATGAATTGGGCTTCACCAAACACTCTGTATACAGCTCACACCCACAGACGCTGAGAGCAGGGTTGATTCAGTGTACATGTAATTGTGTACGGAGTTACTCTCTGCTGGGCTGGCCGACAGAGTTAAGTTTTCAAACTAGTTTCCATCATAGCTCTTTATTTTACCAATCCCATGTTTGGGGCTGCAACTTTTCCTCCCTCTTTGTGAAGAACAGACCACACTCCGATTTTGCACAAAATCTTTTCCACCATATGTTTTTAGTAATTGTATAGTAGGGAAAAATCACTTTTCCCTTGTCAGACATTTCTAGTAACACTTTTTTTGTAAAGGCCTTCATCAGAAGTGGCTGAAATTTGAGACTATTCATGGAAATAGTCCTTCGAGGAGGTTAAGTTTGAGAAAGAAAATAGAAAATACGGTTAAACTGTGATTGAAAAATCGCTCCTGAGCGTGCTCCTAGGAGCCGTGCCCTGTGCTAACAGCAGTCTTTGTGTTTGTGGCGCGGGGCAGGAGTCTGAAAGCTCACCCAGGAGCAGCAGAGGCCGCGTGCTGCCCGTGCAGGACGGCTTGCAGAGGGTGCTGGGCATCGGCCAGCACGGTGCGAGCCCGGCTTTGGCTGCATTGCACGTCTGCTGCTGCACCTGTGCCCTTCGGTGGGCCGTGGCTGTGAATAGGGTATAGACAGAGTGGTCACACAGCACTCGGCATGGCTTTTTTCCCATTTTTCATTTGCTTTTTAGGTTTTTATACCTTGTATGCCATCAAATACGGGTGTCTTGCCGCTGGTCCTCATTTCTTGCACTGGACAAACTACCGTTGGTGGCAACTTCGTGGTGGGGAAGACAGAGGAAGAAAATCACCTTGAAAATGCACATTTTGACACTCGGTGGGCAGAGGCAAATCGGGGCATAGAGAGGAGTCGGGGAACCACAGGCAATCCCAAAAGAGCAGGAGCAGTGCTCTGGGATGGGGAGGTGGATGCAGCACGTAGGGCCTTGGGGCCAGGTAACTGAGGCTCCTGAGTGATGATGGGAATTAGTAATAGTCTTCAGTGTCATTAGTATTTTCTGTTTTCCAAAGGCTTTGCAGGATTATGGGAATAAGTGGTTAAGTGCAAGGTAACACTGATTCTTTTCAGCGTTCCCAGGGTCTGTAATGGGACCGGCCCGAGGCCCTATAAATAGCTTAGAACATTTTCATCTGTAACATTTGGTGTAAATTGTAACTTTCAGAAACTTATCTTTTATGTGGCGCAGTTTGCTTTTATGTTCCTACTGTCTAATCTTATCTTCCCATGTGCTGAAATATAAAAATTCATTGCAATTATCTTTCCTATAGTAAGATATCAAGGAGTTGGTACATTGTAAGGGGACCGGGTCGAAGTACAATCAACACACATTTTTTTGGGTCTAAAAATATCGGTGCTTCAAAGGTCGGCTAAATGATAAATCCCGTCCTGAGTGTATATATAATACATACGAATGCACACTATAAATTTGTTTTATAGATTTTCATTGAAGCGCTTCACAGGCTGATGATGATAATTTCAAAACGCTTCGAGTTTATCTGAGGTCGCCGGTGCAGCGGGCGAGGAGGCAGCGAGGCGTCGGGCAGGGCCGCGGGACAAGCCGCACGTAGGCGGAGGGGTTGTGGCCCTTTCGGCCGAGGGGGAGGCAGCGGCTTGCCAGCATTTGGCTCTTTGAAGGTGGCGAAAGCCCATCGGGCTGTTTTCTCTCCGAAGTCAGCCAGCCAGCAGCAGCCTTCTCCCGTGGCCAAAGTCGCTCCTGTGGGTTTCAATGGGAACGGGCCCTGGCGTCGCGCTGTTGACTTCTCCTTTGTTCGGCTGCGGGAGCGCAGCTGCTGGAAGTTGTGCTGCCACGGGGAAGCTGGGACGCAGTCCGTGAGGGCAGCGGGATCCGCAGGCACCGGGAGCCAGCAGCGTTTCGAGCAGAGAGCGGGCAGAAATTCTTGCAGAAGGCCTCGCCGTCGCACGTCCCCCCGTGCTCTTTTCCTTTCCATGGGAAAGGAGGGGTTGGACCGAGGCGTTGTAAATAATGTAACTGACCGGAGGCATTTTTAGATGCTCTAACACTAAACTGGATTTTCTCTAACATGCATCCTTTGCTCCTCTCGGGATGGTATAATTTATTTAAGTTAGTGCTCTTGGTATGTCTTTATTAGGAGTGGGAGCAACAGTCAAAAAAGAGGTAGCGGTCA